AATATTCATACTTTTATTGATAGACCACCACTATTTCATTTACAAATATCAAACACTAGCTGAATCCCTCTCTAGTTATTAAGCAATCTGAAAAAAAGTCCTTTTTTTGTGACTCGCGTGACATATTTTGAGGGTGTTTTCACGATGAAATAGTGGGAAAATACTGAAGACATTTGGAAAAATTCTCAATGTTTTATCAAATAGACTGGAATAGCTCCCAAATGTATGCAGATAAAGCACAATCTTATGAATGAGCTTCAATTACTTCCTCAGTTTGTGATTTATACCCCTGACCCTCTGTTTCGCCCACAAAATTCATCCATGTTCAGGAGGCTGAAATTTTAATTCAAATGATTTATTTTAAAAAATCTTTTGAGATTTAGATGGTTTCAATATTCCTCTTATCAAATATAACTGACAAAAAATTATTCCTTTCACTTCAATTTTTGAGTTTGGTGATGACCCTTACATGGAATGGCTGAGTAGCTTTGTTAGAAATCCTTTCTTTGTATCCTTTGCTTTACGTGTTGGTATTCTGAAGCTTTGAACACTTCAGATTTGATGACAAGTGTGGAGTCAAGGCAATTCACAGCAAGTGAAGCATCAACACTTGTTCACGTTAGGCCTTGCCACTTAACTGTGTGCAGCCACCCTTCACGGTGATCTTTTCAAACCAGTAAAAAAAAATGTCATTTCTAAAGTTGGTGGACAGAAAGTGCAGGAGAATGCAATACATTCAATGGTTCAGCAATACAAAAATGAGAAAGTACATGAGGCGATGACTTTGGGTACCGGGTATCATAGGAAGACACCATTTAGTTAAACCCACAAATGCAGGTTCTAGTTCACTTTTTATTTAACTCTAAGTTCAATAAAAGTCACATTAGGCCCCCCCCAAAAAAGTCACCGGTTTCTGGTATGCGCGTGCGTCGCCGTAGCCATGCGCGTCGGCAAAATGAAAAAGGTTTTTTTTCAATGAAAGATGATGTCTCAAAACCGCCAAACTCACTGGTTTGACTTGAATCCTGCTGCTGCACAATTTTAACGTGTTTTTAGATTGGGTTATGGTCGAGAATAAGCTTTATGTGGCCTCTCTGGACTCCCATATGTTTGCACTAAGTTTAGTCGGGCACCATTTGCAGTCATCAGCCGACATTTGAAGCAACAAAATCAGGTAAAAAAAAAAAAAGCCACATTGCCGCACCACTTTTTGGGCAAGCTCCATACCAGAAACCGGAGACTTTTGTTTTTGGCCTTACATAAAGATAGGTCTGAATCTCATTACACTGGCAATGTTATTAGGTACAAAAACCATGTGCCAAAAAAAACCTAATGAATAAATAAAATAATTAAAATAAATAAAATGAATAAAATAAATAAAATACACATAAAAAATTTAACTAAATAAAATAAAATAAATTTATTTAAAAAAACATGAAAATAAAATAAAATAACTAAAAATAAAATTAAAATAAACAGTCTATATATATATATATATAAATGAAAGCTAGATAAGAAAAATAACAAAATAAGACAAGACATGCCAAGTGCAGCTGGACCCGAAAGTCTGCAATAGTTACGCCATTCTAAATTTGTACTCAGTGACTCAGTTGGTCAAGACTGAGCTGCGTTTCAGGCATGTTATGTTCAGCTCAAGCAAATAATCTCTAGCCTTACATGTTGTTGCTTAAAGGTATAAAGAAAACCACAAATGTTTTACAAGACATCACATTGGTTTTTGCATCACTTTGTACGGACTCCCTTTTCGAAACCTTTTTACCTCAGTTCTTGATGGGCGAGGCTACGGTAGGTCGTTGAAAGAAGCGTCACTGAACTGAAAGTGGAGCTAACCCTACCAATTTGTGGGGCTAGAATTGGCCCTGGCTACCATACCGGTAGCTCCGGAGATAGCGGAGTTAAGTTGCGTCCAGAAGACAACTATTTTGGTTGGAGCTAGCTAGCTCCGGAGGTTTCTTTGGATACAGCCCTTTATCTGAACGACCCGTTAGATATCATTATTCCTTCTAATGATGTTCATGCATATTCAGGTACAAGGAGTGCCTCATCAAAGACACAATGCACCAGACAGATGTCATCGTTTAAAGAAGCACCTTTTGTGTGAATTTTCTTCTTGGCTTTCCTTAAAGAAAGAGACCACAACCCCTAATGAAAGAGGAAGTTTTGGCAGTTGACATTATGAGACATTTCTAAGATGATTTATTATGACACTTATATAATTCCCCGGCAGGTAAATGTACATGTATATGTGCTACGAGTTGACACAAACACCAGGAGTGTAATTTCACATGTACATGTAATGTACATTGCGAAATGACAGACTATTAGAATGACTATTAGAAACACCCCCCCCCCCCCCTTATGAAATAACTCTGATTTAAATGATGACTTGCTCTATAAAAGACACTAACAATGATGTAAGAATCTTCACAGATATTCTTCCCAGTGTACACATTTGTACACGTACATGTATGCCTAGTCTGAAAATTTGGGACTCTCAATACTGTGTATGAGAGTCCCAAAACTTAACGTATTGAAAACATGCAAACCAAGAAAATAGACTGGCACCTAAAACAACCAGGCCAACACAGCTTCAGTACTGCATCAATCAACCATGCCAAAAGAATTTAAGAAACATGTGGCATGAAGCGGGAACTAGTCTCAATTTACTACACATTTCTCCATAGTCAAGCCACCAGACTATGGACACTGAATAAGGAGGTCAGTCTTTTCAAATAGTTGGACCATGGTTGGACACGTACCAGTCTAGTATTTAGCCCCATTTTGAAATCACTTGACTTCCCTCTCATGTGCAAAATATTGAAGAAAAGTCTCCTTTAAAAATTGAATTCAGTCTGCAAACTTGGTTGGTGAAATACTGAGGACATTTTCTTTGCTCCAGTGGCATTTTTGAAGAAATTTGCTGGCTAAACTGTGAGTAAAGTGGGCCTGATTTAGTTTTGCACATTTCAGAGCACGTTCCAGAGCCCTGTCTGACGTATGCCCAACACAACACTTAAGTTAAGGGGTTTCAGGAGTATGCAGGTACTGATATCGCTCAATTTTACGCTATTAATGGGACGAGAAGTTATTCATTCACACAAGCTGTCAGCGTCATGTTGAAGAAAACAATAACTACACATTGATAACAAGCTGATTGCTAATGATATTGGTACTTTGCGATGTGGGCCAAATATTATTACATTGCCCATATTTTGGAGTGTTTTTTACAAGTTTGCTGAAATCATCCATATAAGATGTACCTTAAAGCATTACTAATCTTGAAAAAAAAATTTGCAGGCTGCAAACACTAACAGTAACATATAAAAACAAAAAACAGATATGGGCGGTCAAAATCTGTTCTTCAAGTTGTAGCGCTAGCACAAAGTACATTTTACAGGCAGCTGAGCTGAGCAGAGATGTTATCTTTTACTGCTGCAAATTTAACGCAGTGTTGAACTGTACAAACAGTATTTTTCCATAAGTGCTGGTTGAAGTATTGACAATGCATTCCATGTTATATCAAGTTTCCACTTCCAACGAAAGAATATGCGAATGACAGTCAGAATAGCGAAAACCCGCCTTCAATCATTCATATAGGAATAGTGAATGTTTAACTAGTTCATATGACATTTTAAGCTCAATGGGCGTAGTCTATAGTATTCATACTGATTGTCATTGGAGAAAATATAGTGGAAATTGTGACTTTCTGTAGATTATTAAACTCCATGAACATAATGACCTTGGTACATTGATAATCCTGAAAAATATTTGGCGAAGACCTAAATTTACTTTGTTCCTGAAGAAATTGTGAAATATAATCAATTCAGACATTTTACACTGCATACATGTTCGGTTGCAGCTCATCACATTTTTCCAAGCAAAAACGTTTGAAGCTAATTTTTAGGATACATTTGTCCAGACACTGCATCATCAACAACTTTTTTTGCATTGTTGAACATGGAGAGAAAGCTTGCAATGATTTTTTTTTTTTTTAAATCAGTGAAGGGTTAACTTCAATCAGACAAAAGTTTACCCTTAAGCAAAAACAATACTTGAGAAATACCTAACAAGTCTGCATAATAAAGTTTGACTCTCAATTGATGTTCAATGGTGATGTCACATTTTAAAAATTTATATCAATCTTTGCGTCTTTGGCACAATTCATGCACATCTAGCCAACATGAATTTTGTGAAACTTGTACGAGTAGGCCTATAGCATGCAGTCCGCTTTTAACATTTGCACATGATAAAACTCTAGTTTTATGCCAAAATAAAGAAAAAGTAAATCAGAATACACTTTGTGTGGATTGTAAAGAGAGAACTAATGCTACTATTGTTTTAGTAATTGTAAAAAACTGGATTTAACTTTAGTGACTGTAGGGGGGAAGGGAGAAACAATTGATAGGCGAATAGTATGTCAGATAAAGGCTCAAGTCAAGGAGAAGGCATTCCAGTCTTCAATACTTTTTTTTCCCTGACTCAGGACAAGATTAAAGAAAAATGGGTTTTTTTCCAATTTTTTTCCTCCCCTAATTTGCCTATGAAAATCTTTGCATTTGAAAATAGCCAAACAGAGGGTTGGGAAAAAATGTTGCAACCACTTTTTTCTTCATATATCATCTTAATGAAGGTCAGTCATTGCAAACATAATGATAAGACATGAATCTGGGACTGAGAATCATGTTCAATTTTGTTAGGAAATAGGGGGCCTACTTAGACATTGTACACGACCGCTGAAGTGGCGTCAGGTTGCAACATTTTTTCCAAGGGTTGCATTCATAACTTTGCACGCCCAGTTTTACAATGATTTCCCGTTGAATTTTTGTTTTAACTTGTTCATGAGTGAATGACACTGTCTGGAGTGTGGACGATTGAGGAAGTTCGATTTTTTTTTCTTGTTTACCGGTGCACAGGCATGACAGGTAAACGAAAAAAATCAGTCAAAGACGAGTCTCATAATCAGAAAAACAACAACAAACCTGGCGGTTCATCATCAATATCCGAGTCACCATCGGCCGGCTCGGAAAACTTCACCTCTCGCTTGCCCTTGCTCTCGAGGTCGTGCAGTTTGGAGAAGTGCTGGGCCGCGAACTCGACCAGATCGTCCGGCCGCTCACGCAGGACCGCCACGGTGAAATCCTGCAGGAGGTCCGTCAACCCCGAAGGTATCTCGATGCTCATGACAACAGGAAATTTGGACACAGATTAGCAGTAAAATGCTCCGTAAGTTTGCAAACTCAGCGACCAGTGGAAATCTCTGTTGCTTGATCAATGTTCTGCTGAACTTGCTGACCCTAAGGGAGTAACATTTCTTGGTAGGCACTGAAAATGTTCAACATGTTGCTTGTTTTCTGAGCACATTAGTACATGCAGTACGGAGGTGTGGAATACGTACAGTCGTCGTACGTACGTACATTTTGTGCAGGTACAAACGAACGTGTAGTCTGTACGCGCGTTGTGGGTGTATGTCATGCATGTTCCTTATGCAAATTTTTGACACAGACGTTCTGACGTCACAGTTAACCTTTCACCTTGATAACACCTTTTTCTAATTGACTGACGATTTAAAATAAAGTTATTTTTCTGAAATTGATAAAACAGGATTTTATTTCTCAACAGATTTCACTGACAAAATTTATTGAGTTTAGGGTTGTCTGCAAAATAACTGTGTCACGCGTACGTTCTTATGATGATGGAGGCAAGCGCAGCTGTGCGTTGCTATGATGTTGCCATACGGGTTGCTAGGCAACAGTTTGAAGCTAAATGAGGGCGAAGAGAGTTTTATCAAAACAGTCATCAATTATTAGGGGTTTCATAAAATAACGACCAGACATCAATAATTAGATAACGGTTGTTCATCTTCTTTGTTTACATACTATGACTATTAATTAGCTCCGGCTCTACATATACAGCTAGCTCTTTGGGCTCTACACATGCCATATGTAAGGGGAAAAATATAAGATTTAAGTGTACTCTTATAGAAACGTGTTCGCATTTTGTTTTTTTACAAGAGTCAAGAATGATCTGGAGTTTTTATTAATTCGAAACGTCCGACGTTTCGCCATCATTTTGATAGATGTATGCCCTTTTAATTTATCGATTGATATCTTCTCGTTCAAAACTTGTAACTTATTAATTACAACTACAGCGTATGACACATTTTTATTTTTATTTTTAGAAATTTATTTTGGTTCCAAGGATAAATTATACGCCGAATGTTCTCGTGGAAAAATTAGTAATAAAAAGAATTAGTGTTTTCAGAGAACATTTTGTTCTGCTCGAAGTAGAATAAAAGGTTTAATTCGAGACACCCTCGATCTGCGCTGCAATATTGTTTGTTGCATGTGTATGTAGTTGCAACAGTAACAGTATCATGCAACAATGAACAACAGAGGGCGCTAGTTCGATTTGACGGAACAGCAAGATTATTCACAAGGTAGCAGACCAGTAAATAAACGTCCATAGACCCCAATGGTAAATGCTCCCACTTCAATAATTCGGGAAAAATACTCACAACTCTCCAAGGTGTTCGAGACACACATCAAATTAAAGCTTATTTCATCATCTTTCATTTTCTTTTCAATTTTCGGGGGGTCAACTGATGACTTTTAGGAGAAATTTCCATCTGAAGATGATCACCCCTGAAAATAGTCCTGAAGCCCATCGCCATTTTGAAAAACGATGCCTACACTCCATTGCAAAATAGAGCGCTTTTAGGGTCCAAATTAGTACATCAAAATTACACAGAACTGCAAGCTCCCAGTCCTGTGCACGGCTTCCACCCATATTTTTTACAATCCCTCAAGTTCATGGCCCACAGCATGCTCAAATACCGAAGATTTTGAGGGCATGCAAATCGTGATTTGGCCGGCGCAGGCAATTTCGGACCGATTTACTGGTCTGCACCCTTACATAATCTGTGGCGTTACAACTGGAAATAACGACTATCGATGTTGCAGATCACTGCATTGATCGCATTGAATTGCCTTCAGTAGTAAAATATAAAATGTTTCTGATCTATCACCAAAAGATCACCTGACTTTTGCACAACCTGACTTTTTTTTTTACGAACGATACGAAATCTTTATTAGTGATCATGCATTTTTGTTAATTATCGAAAAAGAATAGGAATTGAATGTAAAAAGTGGCAACATGATAAAATAATAATGTTGAGGTACATATCTTTTGATCAGTTGAAATAATGAATTGAATTTGCGATGTGTAAACTACCAGTGTTGTAGTCGAGTACTTTTTCCGAGTACCAAGTACTGCCGAGTACTTAGTTTGCCGAGTACGAGTACGAGTACCTCCGAGTACAAGTACAGGTCTTCGAGTACGAGTACTTGTACTTCCGAGTACGAGTACGGGTACTTGCAGGGTTCAACCATAACTACTGAAACAGACTCTTAACTAGCACGCGTTCATTTTCACTAGCCCGCCTGTTTTTTTTTCTTTTATAGAGTGTCTCATAAACAGCAATGTGCATACATGTAAAACGTATATAGAGCCTGAAAGTTGACCCCTGGTGGCGCGCTTCAGGGCCCCTCGAAAAGAAAATATTAACATGTAAAAAGTCAGAGCTTTGAAATTAGCTTTGGTACATTGATTTCTTAAGTGCCAAACGATTGCCCTCTCAATTCCGAAAACTTCCGTATGGACTCATGGAACTCGATCACTCGTTCAAGCATGAAAATTTGTGAAATAAATTTGTGGTGGTCATTTGGGTAAAAACTTAAACTCAAAAGGAGACTCAAATGTCTTTTGGGACGGACGATTTGTTTTAAAATAAACTTGAAGGATTTATTTTCATTTACAAACATATCTAAAATGACCGTTATTAGAACTGTGTTAAAACGTGATCCAAATGAGCCTGAATAAATCTAGAATCCATCAGATGTACATAGGATTAGGTAAATCTTCAAGTCGTTATCATTTTTTGTTCTCACGTATCAGACAAGTACGCGATGTGAAAACTAACGTGATCAATTAAGGCGGCCTTGGAACGAAATTTGTTTTTACCTATTTCCAACTGATTTCTCATCTATTCTGAGGCAATTTTGTCCGTGTTTTTAATAAACAGATCTAATAATTTAGCCCTTTAAAACAGTCTTTTTATCTTTGCCGTATCCCAATATTTTTTGACTCGCCAGCCGGGCTACTTAAGGAATAGTTTGACCGCTAATTTCGAACCCCGGTACTTGTACTTCCGAGTACGAGTAAGATTACGGGTACTTGTATTTCCGAATACGACCGTACGGCACATGGTTCATTGTGCGTAATTGGCCCAGGCCCAGTCAGACCGGTCTACAGACCCACTCACAGCTAGATGTTAAATGTTTTTGTCCGGACGTGCGCAGAGAAAAATCAGGAAACTTTGATTTCTCCACAACACCCCCCCCCCAGTACTGCTATTTGAGTACGAGTACTTTGATGATCGAGTACAATTTCGACATGTCGAGTACGAGTACTTTGCTTCCCGAGTACGAGCACCGTCATTTCGAATACAAATACTTTGACATTCGTGTACGAGTACTCAAAAAAAGCAATCGAGTAGTACTCGAGTACGAGTAATACAATACTGTAAACTACGACCGCCTGCTGTAGATGTCAAAATAATGACAGTTTGGAAACGTAAATACTGGTCACTTGGTGGCAGCAATCATTTGGGGGTTATCTACTGGGTGATTTTTTTAATGGAAAATCGTCCCAAGCGTGGCTATAAAAGCCACTCTTGGCAAAGAGCTAGAAAAAAGTAAAATATGATGTAAAGAAAAATAATAATCACGAAAGCTGGAGGTAGGATTTTATATTTCTCTATAAACCCGCAAACCCTCTGATACTAAAAACACGCAAAAGCGGATTGTAATTTCCTTGATTAGCTTTTGGGAATGAATCATTTGGTCAAGTTACAACTCAGTCCCGTTCATTTGTGCTAATTACTTAGTGTCCCCCTCCGATCCATTCCATCACTGACAATCGGGGTTCGGCCAAACTGAATAAACACAGCGCTTGTGGGTGCAGACCAGTAAATCGGTCCGAAATTGCCTGCGCCGGCCAAATCACGATTTGCATGCCCTCAAAATCTTCGGTATTTGAGCATGCTGTGGGCCATGAACTTGAGGGATTGTAAAAAATATGGGTGGAAGCCGTGCACAGGACTGGGAGCTTGCAGTTCTGTGTAATTTTGATGTAATTTGGACCCTAAAAGCGCTCTATTTTGCAATGGAGTGTAGGCATCGTTTTTCAAAATGGCGATGGGCTTCAGGACTATTTTCAGGGGTGATCATCTTCAGATGGAAATTTCTCCTAAAAGTCATCAGTTGACCTCCCCGAAAATTGAAAAGAAAATGAAAGATGATGAAATAAGCTTTAATTTGATGTGTGTCTCGAACACCTTGGAGAGTTGTGAGTATTTTTCCCGAATTATTGAAGTGGGAGCATTTACCATTGGGGTCTATGGACGTTTATTTACTGGTCTGCTACCTGTAAGTATCCTTGTAAAAGGTCACCGATTACCGCAACCATAATCCTCCGAGATTGATTGACTAATAAGCTCGAGTATTTTTGAGCTCAGGCTTTCTTTTTTGTCTCTCCAACCAAGTACGGGTCACTGACAATAATTACTGCATGTGCGTCATTTGTGGACGGAATGGTTTCTCGGACTTAATTACTCCTTAAAATAAGATCATCCAAAGCTCACAAAATGTCAAGTCAGTCCAAACAAAACACTCCCCGAAACCCATCGAGGGAACGCCCCCTCCCGCTCGTGGTCTCCACCTCCGTTTTTGCTTCCCCCTCTCAGAATATGAGGAAGTCAAAATAAGCTTTTGTAATTGCATTAAATGCCCATCCTAAAAATGAGGCCCTATAAAGTGTCCCCTTCCCCGAAGGGGGGGGGGGACCACTTCAGTTCTATATCAATATCACTATCTCCGATCATGGAGCTAGGAATAATGCTCCGATAAGCCTATCCCTTTCGACTATGACAAGAATATAGTCCAGCCTTGCCCCGTCTCGGTCATTTCCCACACCGTCCCTTGTTGTACGACCATGGGTATCGATCTGTAATGACCGCCGTACGTGCCGCTGCACCCAATCGCTCGGATTTCTCCGTGCCATACCTTATGTTTTTGCCGTGAACTCAATTACTCAGAGATAACGTGATTATCGCTGGGCTCTGTCATTATGCTTCGCCCATTCCATGGTTCAACGAGGACATCAGGTTGTCAACTTAAAGGAAACCAGGCTGTGCTCTTGTTCATTTTAAAGGGATTGCGCATTTCAGTCATTTCCCCCTGCTCAATACCACTGTACAGGGTGACCCCACTGATCTCTATATAAAGTCTTTATATAGAGATCAGTGGGTGACCCCGTTGCAACCCTGAAACAGCTGTCTTTTTTTTCTTCAAAAACGTGATCTGTGAATTGTTATGTTTTGGATATCAGATTAAAGCTAAGA